TGCTATAGCAGTTGGGGCTTTTTCGGGAAAGTTATTTCCCTCATGGTTATGTACATCACTGAGTGGTGCAAAATGGCTCATTCTATTTCTTTTTTATGTACCTTCTTCCTTAATTTTCCCGAAGTACTAATCAGACATAGTGTATAAAATGACTATCTTCCCTAGAAACGTTGTCTTTTTGGATGATAATAACCATAACAATAATGAATCTGTTACGAATGATATAAGTAGATCATTGTAACATAAAAACGTGACGCAAGTGCCATAAACGATGCATTACGGGTTACTTTATTTAAGCGCGGTAACAAAACGCCGACATTTTACCTGTCCGTGAATATGAATAATAGTATGAAGTTGAAGTACTTGTCGAAAGCAATCCATTAATCGATTCATTTAATCTATCAATATCAATAATCCTTAATTGAACCGCTTCAGTTCCCCTTGTGATCTGAAATTCTCGTTACAGCTATCTTATGCAGGTAAGTTTGAATTTACCGTTTATCTAGTTTCGAGTAGAAAGCAGCACTTAAGTCGTTAAGTATTCATATTTCAATCTGGGTTGTACGCAGTAAAAATGGAATCCTTCTTCCCAAAGTGGTTCGTAAATAGGATAGCTTTGGTTGTTACAGCTTACATTAACGGCCTTTCACAAGCCCGCTTTGCGGTTTTGAGCATAATCTCTTGGTGTTTTCGTCGTTTTTAACACATAAAACGTTGGATCGCGATTGTTTGAAAATATTTTAGGAATACTACTAACTTAAAAGATTTTAAAGATACAACAGCCGTGATCAATCAAAATTAAAGAATAAATAAATTAAACACTTGGTAATTTTTTTCAGTGGTTTATTGAGATGTAACTTGACAATGGTTTGGACAGTAACCGGGCATTATAAAGAGTGTGAACGCTAAACGTATTATAATTCTATTATAAGATTTCTGTTTTTTGTTTTTCATACTGACCCGAACAGTGATAGGCTAGGTACAAGGACAAACGAAATACTAAAGGAGGCAGGAAAAATGAATGATCTGCTGTTTTGTCCATCTTTCAATCTCTCAAGTATTTCGGTTTATCGATTGGGTGTATTTACTTCTATTCCTTTTGCGTATCTCGATGAATTTAGTTTTCCTCTAGTTTCTTCCTTTTTTTCTTCAATTAATAGTCTGAATTTTTTCCAATGTAGACGTTTTCTATGTTACCTTCCCCTTTTGTTGCACTTCTCTTTGTTTCTTTTAGCTTTTGCTTCATTCTTTGCACTCTTTGTCCCACCATTTTTGTTTTTTAGGTCATTTTTTGGCTTTATTTTCTTCATTGTCATACCATTTTTTATTTTTGTTCTCAGCTCTTTCCAGATCCTTGCTGGTCCTGCTTTATTCAACCAATTTATAAAGTCCTCTATGCTCTCCTCATTCTATATTATTATTTCTCTTTCTTTCTCCTGTTCCTTTACTTCCTTTGTATCGACATTCAGCTCAATTTGTATCATTACGTGATCCGATGCTATCCCTTGTTTGACTTCCATTCTTTTGATTTTCTCTTCTCCGATTCTGTTTGTCATCACATAATCAATCACCGATTTTTCCGCTGCTCATGCGTTTTGATTTCCTGTGAAACATATAAATTGTAATTTTTACCTCTTTATGCATCCTACATCAGGATTCCGACGGCAGTACGAAGTATTTCTTTATGTGGTGTGCACTTGTAATTCCTCTTCGAAGTTGTTGCCCTGATATGAAATAAATTTCATCTTCCTTTTCATTTGGTGGCGCAAAACGTAAAGCGCTTTCGATAATTGGTACTCTTGTAAGTTTGCTACGAGAAAGATATAAAAGAAACTTTAACCGAAGTAGTTTGTATCCTGTTGGAGGAAAGTGATTTTAAAGTTAAACAGACTTGCTACGATGTCGCACCGCTTTTCCTTCGCTCTGCTGGCGTAAAACGCGGGATTCTCCACTTTCCCAATAATTGCAAAGTAACGACCAGGAAATCTCGGAGTTTCAGCACGACGATGTAATCATTTTGGTCACAATTGAATTTTTCGCTTCTTGAAGGCACAGAGAACACTAGCGTCTAATCGCTCAAGCACTTAATATTAAAATCTTCTTTTGGTTGCTCTAAAATAAAACCTTTAAATATTGAGTGTTATGAAACATTCAGGATCAAGTGGAGGCTCATGGCACATATGCTGTTATACTTCGTTTACATTCTGTAGCAATGTAACCTTCAGTTTGACTGGCGCAAAGTAGAAAAGAACAGCACTAGGCCAGAAAAGAAAGCAGACAACTCTGGGCCAAACTGTTAACCGATGAGGAGCGTATAATCCGTACAGTACTGCACGGAAAAATTGACCATTGCATACACTACAATTGCATTGCTTAAATGTGCTGTTATTGGTACCATTTACTACTGAAAATATCAACGAGATGTTTATTTATATTTGAAGACATATTAAAGGCTTTAACGTTTGTTTTCGACTCACACCACTATTAATGATTGAGCAAAAGTTTTTTCATACAGTACGAAAAAGTAATGTTTAATGAACAAGAGCCTTTTTCTCTCTACCTACGATTTTGCCAGCGTGCATCCAAGACATTGGAAGGGGCACATCGCTAGAGAAAGTAAACGAAGTATATATCCTATATGGGGTCCTTTTTACAGAATTAATTATCAGTAGAAACAAGATTCTAGTTATAACTGTTATTTTTATAGTTGAAAAGTTACAGTATCCAAAGCAAACATACTCAAAGTGTCTGAGATCAAGTCATTCAGTTGCGTTATATAAAAATCATCTCAAATCCATAATTATTTGATGTTATTAGAACTCTATGAATTCCAAGTAAATAGTGTGTATCATTCTATCGTTCGAGAACAACCATCCTTCAAGATAATCTACAAGATCCTAAGAGAATCTTCTCATATTTAAAAGTCTTACGTTAGTCAATTTAATTATCGAATATAAGAAAACTGTTTGTGTAATGTCGTTTTGTAAAATATTTAGTAATCTGTATTCCCTGCATCTAAAATCGTGTATAATTGTGGTGTCATAAATACATCATATTTACCGTTTTCTTTGATTATTTTGATTTATTTCAAGTAGTTTCACATTTTCTGGCCACTAAACTTTTACAGGATGCTATTGCAATGCAAATGAGTTGTCAGTCGCATATTTTTCAGCAATAAATTTAAATAAAATCACACTTTTATGCAGCGACAAATAGGGGTGGGTGCTCTTGATTATAAGCAGTGTTTCTGATGGCACCTACCATAGGCAAAAGTTAGCGGTCTCATTTGAATTTTGTTACTGAATTGTCGAGGTGAATGACAATCGCAATTCATATCATGGTACATCAACCTTTCATAATAAGCATCTATTTATTTGCGGCATATTTTTAGTTAAGTAGTTATTTAGTCAGTATTTAATTGGAAGGGTTGGTTTTTATTTAAAAGCATGCTTTCTTAAGTGGCTAAAGGGTTGGTTAGTGATTAAATGTTCTATTCGGAATTATCCTGTGAATTATGAAGAGAAGTATGTTAAATACCCTGTTAAGAAGTTTATTCGTTCTTTCTTGCATACAGTTTTGCACGAATGCATACGTAAGTTTCTACAGGTCTGACGAAGGAAGCTGGCGAGCGGCGAGCATTTATGACCTATTTGGGTAAGTCACTTGGAACCGATACACAAATAAGCTTTCAGTAGGCGTAAATTATAGTATTAATACAGATGGGACAGCAGCGTACTAGAAAATAATGTAAAAACATGACTTAACAGAAAAAATAAACCTACTGCTTTTGTTTTAAAGTTAGTTTTCACATTCACTGTCATCATGGGAATCTCTATCACTGTCACCAACATCAACAATTAGTTCTTCTGTTTGTCTGTCTATTACTTGCTCACTGATCCCTGTTTTTAAATATTTAATCTAGGGGAGACCGGGGATGGTTGGCTGTAGGGGTAGGTAGACTAACTACCGAAAAGTCGTCGACAGTGTATGAACTATGTCATCTGATCATAACCAAGCATTACATTTCGCGTCCCGCTCAGTTGTCTGATGCGCCACATCGCGGTCGTGCGTTGTTTTCGAACAGTGACATGTTTTTCATATTTCAATCACATAAGTAATATTTTGATATATTGTATTTTTTGATCTGATGCCTACGTTTTATGTAAATCATTTTTCTATTAGTCCTAGCGTTTAATGAGGGCACATTTATCATATTTCATATCTTATTTTTCAAGTCAACGGCAGTGTTTAGGCTAGCCATGCGATCAAAATTAAAAATGGCGTCTGAGGTTGGTAGACCAGTTTTTTTCAGGGCTGGTTGAATAATTATTCAACCAACCCTAATGAAATTTGTAGTTGAACTTTTAAATCGTTACGTGGCCAAATTAAAAGAAAAATTAGAACAGAATCCGAAATTGACGAGAGCAGAATTAACTCTGGACACAGTGGAATATATAAACAATTGACAAATTTTTACTAATCTAGAAGAGGAAACTTTAGCCAGTTTATTTTTTAACAAAAGGTTCAATTATATTAAAAAAATGTTTAATTATTTGCTCCTTCTCATGATTTGACTCTTACTGGTACATGAGTCAACTTACCCCGGGCATATGGTCTACCTACCCCGGGCCAGGGGTAGATTGACTAAGATTTAATATTTTGTAAAATGCATTAAATCATCACTATTATACTAAACTAAGAACTAAATATTACATATTTTTATTAGGTTAATAGATTTTCTATCAATTGTCTTATCTATATACATTAAGACACAAAAAATATGAACTATTCAGTAAAAAAACTAGTCAACCATCCCCGGTCTCCCCTACGCACCTGATAGGAATACTGAAGAAAGAGGGCTGCAATCGTTATACCTAAAACTGCCTACTTTTGCCACCGCGCATCCACGCCATTTTAAAATTTCCGCCAGCTTCCAGCGTCAGGCCTGTACCATTCTATACAAATTACTTCTCGAGTTAACAGCTGGTATTTCTTTTCAGGTGACTGTAGTAGAAGACGATTCACGGATGGATTCCATTCTTTCTGAGCTTAATGCGACGTTCCCTGCGCGGAAGCAACAAATTGCTCAGCTTTATAATCTTTTCGGGCAAAAAAACGATTTACTCGTAGATGCCGTCTACATCTTCGGATGTACAAGTACTGGGAAAACATCGCTCGTACGTGGCTTACTTGAAAAGGTGCACGTAAAACATTGCATTGTTAATTTGGTCGAGTGTTATTCGACGAAAGTGTTCCTCGAAAAGATTTTGAACATTTTGGCCGGACACAGTATCGACCCGTCGAACCCATGTCCGTACGCGAAATGCGAAAACGCGATGGACTTTATAGAACATTTAAAAAAGTTCTCGTGTTCTACGGGCTTGGATTCTGTAGTTTTCGTGTTAGATAAAGCTGAAAATCTTCGATCGATGGATCACAACTTATTACCGATTTTTATGTCATTGCGGAAGTTAACCGGGATCGAAATATCTACGATTCTCATTTCCGAATTGCCGTTTGAAAAGTTTTACGGTTACGCTCACTACGACCCGATCAAAGTATTTTTTCCTCAGTATACCAAAGACGAACTGATGGAAATACTAGCGAGAGACTATCCTTATTTCAAAGAAGTGTTAGCAAAGGATTTTCCGTCTGTAGACTTTTTAAGTGTTGACTTTTTCCGAGCGTACCTCAATGTGTTCTTATCGGTGTTCTATAGAACGTGTAGGGATCTGTCTGAACTTCGTCACAATGCCAGACTGAACTTTGTGCCTTATTGCGATCCCATTTTTCAAAAGAATTGCAATCCTAACGACTCGATGGCTTTGTGGCGGTTCATAGCTCCAACTTTAAAGTCGTGTTTAGAGGTTTTATATTTACGGATTGCGAATACCACCGACACGATCCGCGACGATAAACAGCCGTTAAATTTAATGTCGTCGAAGGAGAACTTGGCTCAGACGTTGGAATTACCGTTCTACGCCAAATATCTACTTATCGCAGCCTATTTGGCCAGTTATAACTCACCGAAAGATGACAAGAGACTTTTCGTGAAATACCACGGAAAGAAGAGGAAGTCGAAAAGGGATATGAGTCAGAAAAATAAGGTTTCCGAACAATTGAACACGCAACTCGGACCGAAAGCTTTTAATCTAGACAGGCTTATCGCCATCTTTTATTCGATATTGGATGAGAAAGTTGGCCTAACTCATAACCTTTTAGTTCAAGTTACGACTCTTGTCGAATTACAGCTGTTGCTGCTCGTTTCGGAAAATGCTGGAATTGATGTTTACAAATACAAGTGTAACGTGGGATACGATTTTATCGAGAACGTTTCCAGAATGGTTGGCTTCAATATCAGAAAATACTTGATTACGGACTTCAATTAAACAACAAAGATTCTTGTTTGGTTATTTAAAAATTTAATGAACATTAATATACATATGTTACTCTAAGAAGAACATTACTTTGTGTATCCAATATTTCAATCTTAATAAATAAAATATCGATCGAAAATTGTCAGAAATATTGAATAAGTGAAAAGGCGAAACTTCATTTTAAAAGGTAAGTGCAGAAAAGTTACTAATAATGAAAGCCGTTGTACGTTATGTACATTTATTCGGAACTTAAGATTTGCCTCGGTCTTACCCTGATGGAGATACGGAATCTGTTCTTGGGTGATCCACTACCTTTTTTTAGCTTTAATGGCATTTAAATGCATTTTTATTTTCTACACATCTATGACGTTCACGTATTAACTAATCACTATCACTAAATAGTATAAAACAAAGTCGCTTTCCCGCTGTCTGTCCCTATGTATGTTTAAATCATTAAAACTACGCTACGGATGTTGATGCGGTTTTTTTAAAAGATAGAGTGATTCAAGAGGAAGGTTTATACGTATAATACATGCATAATATAATAGGGAAACACTGATAATTTTAGAGGTTTCTAATGTGATGTCGTAAATAAACACATTTATTGCGCTTACATTGCGAATGCTGGCTGAACCCTACGAGATAGATAAAAAAATTTACTACAATATTGTACATCTTAAAAGGGTCTACAAAAAAGTCCGCGATGGTAGTATATGTCTATCTCTTAGGGATAACCATTTTTTATCCTTTACTTTTTATGGGAAATAATGACTTATTTACGAAGCGATTTTAAGCAATACAGCATTAATTCATATCCAATTAAATACCTTAAATACATTGTGCATTTAATATAGATCAACATGGCGCTTTACAGCATGTAATTTAAATGAATATTTTCGAAGATATTACAGATTTAAACTGCAGGGACATAGCGGTTGCGGCGGTACCGGCCGGGAGGCCGGTTTGTATTGTCTAATGACAAAAAACTGATATAAAGTCATTCTGTAGTATATTTAGTATGTTCAGGGGGTGTCTTTCGAAGAATAATCTGAACAAAAAAATATATATTTAGTATCAGCATTGCGCCCGTGCGAAGCTGGGGCGAGTCGCTAGTGATGAATAAAGTATTCCACGTCACATCCTTAGATTCTTAGACAAGTTTTATATACACCAACATAAAAGGAAGAGTGCAGTAATATTAGTAAAAGATACTTAATAGAGAAGACGTATGTATCTGTAATATTTGACCACACATTCAGAATATTCCTTGGGTTTAAAATGCGCCAGAGTGGGACACCCTGTATGTACCTACCCCCTGGGAATGTACCTATTCGGTAAACGTAAAGTCGTATTTTGGAAACAACATCGACATCCACTATCTCGTTACCTTTTTACAAATTAAATTTAACTAAACGTTTGACGGTTATGGCGACCATCGTTCGAATTTCTCCGATAGTACTTGTGACAGGTGTGCCCAATTTATATATCAATAACTGTTATTTATTCGTGCATTCACGATACGGCAATATCGTCGTTTCAGAACTGTATATGTCAAGTAACCCTCCGTTATTGAGTTTGCCTTTGACATTCATTTAATAAAGAATTGTTAGTAGTGTGATGTCTTCTCCGAACATAAGATCTAATTTTAGATTTCGTCCCTAAAATTACAAAATGTGAACACTTGCTTCGAAATGGGTAACACATTTCTAAGGAATCAATACGTTTTTCAGTATTTCATGATGAAGTACCTGCTAAATAAAACAGGATCTATTTGCTTCACTTAGTATGCTTATAGAAGGTTACTTATTTCTTAAAATTAATGTTATTATTGCTGTTTTGTGGTTATAATTGGTTTTTGTCTTTGTTTAGACCTGGTTAATGATGTTATCAATCGTGAATAAATAATACCGCCCCACTCTTTATAATAAAAAATTAAAAGGTTGTAAAAATCTTCTGCTAAATATCATTGGAAGGACCTATTGATGCAGTAAGAATCGAATTTCATGCGTCTACTGCCACTAAAATAATCACAAGTGCGTTTCTAGCCTTATATACAGTGAAATTCAGGATTCTTGTTTTATGTCTGTTGCCGACGTTTCGTCCTGATATCACGGGATATCAAATCAACTACATTAAAAACAAATGATCTGTGTAATGTAGGGCAAAATTTCGGCAACAAAAAAATTGATTCACAATCCTGAGCTACACCGATGTAAAGAACATTCGTGGAAGCCGTGGAAAATATAAATTGATATTCATAAATTACTAAAATACGGGGATAACATGTTTGATAGTATGAACATATGCTTCCGAATCCCGAATATTAAACAGTGGCATTACCTCATAAATCCAGTAGGTAAATGAAATCATTATTAGGTTAATAAATTTCATTTCAGCAAGTGTTTCAAATATTCACGACTGTTGCTTGTTGAACTGCTTTAGTACACAACAATTAGGCATAAATTAATAATTCCTAACATGATTATCTGTTACCTGTCTACTATTGTGAAATTGGCAAGTTATCGGATAGATTTAATGTAATTTTCATTCTTTAATGTATAATGCAAAGAATTTTTGGTCAAATAAACATACTTTAAATGATATTAAGCCAAGATAGACAAAATCAAAGTCGGGCTTGTGGTTGGCGTCAAAATCGGAATCAGTTCTGAAGTATGTATGGATTAATAAATACGTTGGATACCTGTCGACTACATTTACAATACTGACAAAATGTGCTATTTTTACAAAAAAAATTGGGTGTTGTGGCATTTTGGCGAGCAGTTCCTTTGCCATACAAAGTCAAAGGGTAAAATGGAAGACCCTCTTCAGTTTCTGTTTATGAATCGTTAGTGTTGGTTGAGGAAAGAAAGATGGGACAGACAAAATGAAAACGAAGATAATTGAAAAATTGCCTGTGTGTGCTTTACATTTCAAAATGATCCAAGGAATCTAAATTTGGATCAAGAACTAGGGCAGGTAAACCCATAATTGAACAATTGTACTCCCGAATGTTAAACTACAAATGCTCTATATTTGAATGGAGTTCTCTCCTATTTAGAACCTTACTAGTTACCATGCGGTTACTATCTAGGGTTTTTTTCGTAAAGTTGAAATCAACCCCTGAAGAATAAAGTTTACTATCAAGAAATAGATATATCTATGATGCATTAACTAAATTGCCCATAAAAATGGCAGCGATTGATGATTGGCAACCTTCGATTCGGAAATGGCACTTGAGGAAGAGGAAGACATTATATATTCTACTCCAAACAAAAACCTATTTGTTATTTTTACTTCTTGAACATACAATTCAACTAAACTCTACAAACAAAATGAGACGTGCTTTTTGCGAACAATACTATGTATTCTTCCCTGTTATTACCATTTTTCCTTTTTCGTTTTTCGTTTAAAGGGGATATCCGTATTTTGATTAAATTGAGACCCAATCGCGCTATTGTTTTCAAATACCTACTTGCACCAAGTTGGTTCTAAGTAAAGAACACGTTATTCGTTGTGTAAATTTACGGAAATCAACGATAAATTGCTTTGTTTCCCGAACGTTTTGTTATTGCATGTGCCGTTCAACTTTTCCAAAATCGTCCACCGCTTTTATTTCCAATTGAAAATCTGCAAAAAAAATTGACTGAAGTAGTGATCGAAACGTGCTACCGCATACTTGGCACATTATAAGGAAAGGAAATATTAAGAGACTGACAAGTCGGCTTGTTTTCGCTTTTGGAACGAGTGAGGGAATAGCGTTTTTGTCCTGAGGGTCCTAACAAATTCGCTGAGCTCAACGTATTGGAAACTACACGGGGAATCAATAAACAGAAAGATATATTTTTCGGGATCGAAATGGGCCATAAAATAGAAGGTCGTTCGTCATCGCGCCATCACTTCCTAAACTTGATTTTTATAACGGGATACTATAAGTATCATTTTATAATTGAACCAATGCAATAAATGAAATAATGCTAAATTATATCAACTTTGTATCATCAGTTAAGTCGGAATTTACAAAAAAGGGAACATCCACTGTTTCATCTCTCAAAATTTTTATTATCATTGTTACTTAATGTCGAAGTGTTTGAGTTTTTTGATATAGCGTGTCCCAAAAATAATTCCCAAGCTAAAGCAAAAAGATACAGAATTGCAAGGCTATTTAAAATTCCCCCGCGTTTTGTGTTCTAATAATGAATTTTTTTATAAGTAGTTTTGAAGGCAAAACTTCTGTCGCCTACGAAATCCTTTGTAAACCTAATAATTTAACATAACCTAGCTGTGACTACATACAATCGATTACATTAATTATTGTAAATGTACTAAAAACGGCTAATTTGTTAAAAATCAGCGAATGTCATTATGTGATAGTTTACTCTTAAATCTAGCTTTACCAATAATAGGTTTTCCTATTGGTAATTAAGATTTTTGACTTTAATTGATAATAATAAAGCACATTTTTTACGTTTATTTTAGTTATAATGCTCAAAGTGTCTTAAAATGTTGAAGCGGTATACAGTATGGTTGCTTATTAGGCATCTATTTATAGTATTAGAATGTCTATCGTAAGAAAGTGAAAGTGTGGTTCTGCGCATCAACAACTCATCTGCCTAAGAAAACGTTTTGCGCATTCTTCTTACTTAGTTTGATTCATACAACTGCGACCCACGTGTGTCTCAACAGTGTATCGTAGTCGGATTGCATTTATATTATCTTTAGTGCTTAGTGAAATTGTGTTCGTTGGATAATGCCAGCGAGTATTATTGATGAATAAAGGTAAGTCTTTTTCTAAGTTATTATTATTGTCGTCTTTGCTTTTATTTATTTTCCATGTTTTCTCTAAAGTTTCGTGAATGTGTTGCGGGCTCTTTGAAATAATTTTTTGGGTTTGAGGTTAGGTTGTTTCGGAATCTCACGTGCTAAACCGTTTCAGAGGATAACGAAGAATATAACGGTTTTCCTCATTAATCTGAGGTAGTTTATAGTGGGTAAAAAAATTGAAAATGAAGTAAATAACCTCTAAATAAGTACGAACTGATAGTTGTTCGAATTTATTTATTACATCAACGTTGTTACCTATAGCGAAGTACCTACGAACCATATTAATTTATTAAT